TATATTGTATTATATATTAAACGCATCAATATATTACACAATTTAACTCAGCATACATTTAATGCTGACAGTTCTACTATTAAATATAGAACGTGAACTAGTACACATACGTACTTAAAATGCACTTGTGATTTTAGTATACATTCAAAGCCACGATCTCCACTGATTTTACCAGTGCGTCTACATAAGGGTTAATCGAGTCGTTCGTGAAACACGGTTGTGCCCACGCGGATTCAGACACCACGTGGTGAATCGCGGTTTCGCGATCCCCTTTGATCGACGGCACGCGACGAAACGGTGGTAGTCGCTGCGAGCCGCGATTTCCCTCGAGCACCGAGGAAACTGAATTTCACCGTCCATAAGCCGGTGCCCGGTAGACCCGCCTGCCGACACGACAATCATCTCTATCCCGTCGGTGATCGTCGACGATTCGCAGTCATCAAAATGATTGCGGCCGATTACACGATTGCGTTAGCCGGGGGCACGCTGCCTGGCCGCGTGCTCGCGTTTTTTCCGCGTCGCGGGAGCCAGCGTCGCGACGGCGATCCGCCGTGATGCCGGGAGCGGAGGCCCCGCGACGAAGGAAAATTCAATGAACGCGATGGAGCCACGGCGAATCTCGTTATCCCGGCAAAGTGTCCCGTGAAATGATCGAGTTTTGAAGTTTAAACGAGCACGAAGTTGGTATTTAACGCAGTACGCGCGCCGACGAGGAAGGGAGGACGGTTGGAACCGTTGTTGTTTGCCCGGGTAATTGAAGTTTTCGAGCGACGCTCGCGGTTTTCAAGCGACCGCAATCTCCTTTCGTCTCTAATTTCTTTGGAAATTGAAGGAGAACCGAGTTACCTTGCCTCGCTCGTCAAAGCTCCTTTTTTCCCGTGGATAATCGTAATAATTCCGAACGGGGCTGTATCGTCGGTCTATGGCGTATGCAGACGACGAAGTGGTCCGTCCGCCACTGATCGGAATAATCGTGACGATATATAGTAAATCATATCGATGAGTGTTCGAAAGTTCCTTGGCATTGAACAGTGAATATTTTATAAATTAGAGACCATAGGGTAAGTGACCCAATTACAGATAGTGTCTGTATTATGGAGAGCTAACTATATTTCTACGAATTAAAATCATTGTATTTATACAACATCTGAAATAATTTTTTAACGGAGTTTTTTAAAACATTTTCAATTTAAACTACTTTGTTAATTAAGTTTCGTATTTTAATGCTGAATCTGACAATTTACTCGTGCCTCTTCATGCAAAACTAAAGATAAGTAACATACTTTTATGGAGTAAAATAGAAAGGACCATGTACCAAATATTACACTTTTAACACTAAACCTACCACGACTGGTCAAATGACTACAAAAGTTATGCATACTTAAATATAGTTCAACTTTTGTTTAACCCAATTTTTCGTGAAGTTCAAGAAAAGTTTTGAAAATCCGTGGTTAAAATTACGCGGGACACCCTGTCTATCAGAACTATTCCACTCGATCCCTGAGACTTTTTGTTTACTGACCAGCGAGATCAGGAAGAGAATCGTGCGAAGATGGATCGCCACGTTTTAGTTACGAAGGCATTCCTGTTTATTTTCACCGTTCCCTCCGCGACTCACGATTACCGTGGATTACGTGTGTGCGTGTGTGTCATCGGCTCAGCTGCGACCTACGACCCCTTGCGATAGCCCCGCGCCAGCAGATAGCGAGCCTTCGGACGCTCCCGCTGTCTCTAAACGCCGAGGCGAGAGTGTCAAAACGTCTAGCGCAAGGGGTGGGGGGTGAGAGGACGAGCGATCGATGACCACTCTCTACGGGTTGGCCATCGGCTAGCTTCCATCGATTATCGTCGATCCCCCGGCCGCGTCACCCCTGGCCTGTTCCCAATTATCGGTCGGAAAAATCGTCTAATCGGAAACGGGCTGATCCACGCCGATTCCTATCGATCGTCCGAGGAATTAAAAGGAAGGAAAAAGGCCGTGTTGGTCGATCGGAATAATTACCGGGGACCTCGTCGCCCGCGTGTACTCTTTTTTTCTTCTTTCTGTCCAGGAACCGTTGCGCAAATTGGTCCCGTGCTAGACGACGGTAAAAAAAAAAAAGGGGCTCGACGATTGATCGCGATCCAGATTTCATGGGACGATTAAAGGGGCCGTCGAGTGCTCTGCTTTCGGGATTTTTTTTCCGATTAAAGGGCTGGCCGTTCTCTTGAGAAGGGCTAAACGGGTCGACTTTTGTTCGACGGAAAGGATTGATTTAATAAGCGAGCTGCCGAGGAGCTATTCTTTTGTTACAGGGTTCAATTGTCACGGGGGTGATATTTAATTAATGAAACTCGGTAAATGTGTCGTGAGAATGGTTCTAGAGAGGATGGCAGGATATACAGTGGATTCTGGTTATTTGGGATATATCGGGACTAGCGTTCTTTGGCCCGATTAAGCGTCCCAATTATGCAAAGTGTCACATAGGTAAATACAGTACATTCCATTAGGCTTTGTTCATCGAGCTTTGTCCCAAATAACTACCTCGATTAACCCCATAAGTGGCCCAAATAAGTGGAATCCACTGTACTTTCCTTTTAGCTAACATAACGTAGCTAATAGAAGACAAGTGGTACAGATCAATCGGTATTTCATTATTCCTCTCGAAGACGACAATGTCCCTGGTTATTACTTGATCATCCGCTTTGACATTGTTTTTAATTTATTACTCGTGGCGTTGGCCACTTGAGCTTTGGTCTTCTCCAGATTCTTTCTCATCAACCAAATAAAACGCAACAGACATCAGAGCTCTACAATGTAGATGTTCTCAGCGTGGTAGCAACGTCGACACCTAGAACAGCGGTATTAGACGGATCTACCAAAGCGGGTTGGCAACGTCAGAGGATTATTGCTTTGTCGGTCTAATTCGTGTCAATTCGCGTGACCGGGTCGCCCGTTTAACGTATACGCGGGCACGGGTGTTGAATTCGTCGCGGCACCCGGCTGTATTAGCATCGCGTGAAAACAATATACGAGCGACGAGCGATCCGACCGAAGTTCCACTGGCGATGCATGAACTATTAGCGACGTTTAGAAACCGGGTCGTGGGAACGGCCGGAACGAGACCGGAATTCGGTTGTGCCAGCATTAAATTTCACCAGTTAGCAACACTTCGTCTCTAGACGGGGCTGCAAGTCCCCATCCTTGTACCGTATCCCGATTCACGCTTCATTTACTTTAATGGATGGAACCGAGGGACAGGCTCTTTGATATAGAACGAGAAGGACAATACCTAGATAGCACACAGATGGCTTAAGACGGCTTAATGACGGCTTAAAGGCGCCTCAGACCTAAAATAGCCGTAAAATGGACGTCTTTAAGACGTCATGTGCTATCTGGGTAGAGTGTCGCAGCAGCAATGGCAACAATTTTACGCGTGTCAAAAGAATCAGCTTACCAATGAATTAGGTTTTAGAACCAACTACAGTAATGTCTCGATAAGTGCGATTTGAAGCATTCGTGGCAAGGTGGCCTCTGGTTAGCTTATGTTTACTCTGTTTTGATTGGTTTCACAGGGGGACATCCCCAGTGATGGGAATAATGCCGTTACTTTTTTCCCGTTCACCGAGGATTCACTGTAGTTCGTTGCAGCATACCTCAATATATAGTAAAATTAAGTTTCACGAAATAATTCAACCCACGTGAGCTGCTTTTGAGTAAAAATATTCAGCTGACAATTCTCAAACGGTACATACAAGTGGTAAATGACGAAAAATTTCGTTCCAAGAAGACCGTCTTAATAAACGACGTTAACGAACCATCGGAGAATTCTCTGGAAATGCTCTGGGGTGGACCGTTGAGAAACGCTTCTCCAGAGCAACTTCGATTCCCGTTCACGCGGCTCCGTTGGGCCAAAAATACGTGGCGCAACGAATTAGGCCGGTCCAGACGGCGGTCCGGGGCGTGTACATTCGCGGCAAGCAAAAATAGTCTTGTTTCCCGTGGAGTTTTAATTTCGTCCTCGTTAATGACGAGAAACGTGTCCCTTTGGCCGAATGGGGCCGGTTGCTCCGCGCGGCGAATGTGGAGCAACGCGCGCGCTATTCAGTTTAGCCAATTGAAACGAAACAAAGTCGCGGCCGTCTCGACCAGCCTCGAACACCCCAACGGGGGGGCCCTTTTCAATGCTCTCGGCGACTGCTGTTGCTCCATTAAACGCGAGCGCTCCGGGTGAATGACTCCTCGACGCGCGTGTGTATACAACATACACGCGACGTGTGAGAGGCGGTCTCGTTACGTCATCGACGAGATTTCGCGACACGTGCTGACGGTTTACCTGTTGACCCGCCCGCGCACGTGCGCCCCGAACGCTTTTGGTTCCGATTCAGCTTCTGCGTGTCGTCAATGGACTCCTACGATGATGATAGTACTCGGTTGAAATGAGATCGAGGTTGGTTTCGGATTATTCGAAATCAAGTATATACAATTTTTATGACTTTAGGGGAAGATCTAGCTTCATAATCTGAGCGATAGACGTTGCAGCTATATTTGTGTACGTTATTATGAATTTCGAGATGGGAGATACATCCATGATCCAGGTAGTTCGATCGCTGGAATAGTGATTGATTCAATATCTTTTACCTTTGATCGCAAACGAGCTATGAGATGTAGTGTTGATCGAAACAAGAGGTATACACTAGAAACGTGTGAGACTTGGTAAGTCATCTGTAGTACATAGAAGCCTCTCAATTTGGTATCTACTAAAAGCATGGTAAAATGTAGTCAAAGATTCCTCTGGCGTAAGCTTATCTTTCGTTCACATCGAAAGGATAATGGAAGTTTCCCGTACTTGGGGGAAATTTTTCCCCGAGGCTCATCTTCAATCTCGTTGAAGTAACGGGCATTTTAATTACAGAGTCCCCTAGAATTATCCAGTACTCTTGTCCCTCCTCCGATCTCTATATTCTCTTTCGTGCGACGAGCTAGGAACTGTTAAAAGGGTTATCTGACCTCGTTCCAGGTAAACGGGAATGGCGTACTCTCTTTCGCCAGGTCGATGCAACGTTTCCTAAATATCGCGTTCCCGTTGGACGATCCGGTGATCGCGCCGCTCTACACCCACGTCGACACCAGAAGCTCCGGGCGGATTTATTACGGTGAAACAGATTCACCGGAAGTGCTCGCGAGAGCCGGAGGAATGGTTCGCAGCGCATTCAAGGACGCGGCTGACTTTGTGCCCACACACGTGTTCCTAGCCACCTGGCTGGAGGTCGGTTACTACGACGAGAAAAGCGACAAAGTAAGCAAAAGATCGTGTAGTACATCGTTTTTACCACCGATCATCGATCCAAGAAGACAATTAATCTTCGCGACTTACGGTTGTTGGATTCTCCTAGGTGAATACCTTCCAAGTAGCCATCTCGTCGAACGACACGCATTCCTATGTCGAGCTGCTCTACCCGGATAATGGGATTCAGTGGATCCAAGGTGCATCGCACCCCAACGGTCTACCCGACGCGAAGGCGCAGGCAGGATTTATGAGCGAAGGAAGAATGTACACGTTGAAGGGTTCCGGGACGGATCAGATTCAGAACGTCGACAAGTGAGTCGTCAGGGGACGAATGCTTGCCCAGGGATTTCTACATCGAGCGATTCACTGAGGGGGTAACGTCAATTACGTTGTATTGTCTTTCAGATGGTCGAACGTGAACAGGCCGGGACAATGGGTGTTCCAGGTTGGTCCGATCTTGGACGACCAGGAGGTGAAGGTACCGGATAATATTGAAGGTGAATTTCAAGTAAAATGTTCAGCTTTAAACTAGTGTTTTAAAACTTCGAACGTATTCTTCGATAACCATTTCAACCTCGTCTAATTTTTATACCGTTGCTCTCATATTAACGTCTCGCCATTACCTAGACATCAGCGCAACTAATCAGGTGGCCAGCTGCAGAACCGGAGCAACGACATGCCATAGCAAAGCAAGCTGTATGGACTATGAGGTCGGTTTCTGCTGTCACTGCAAGCAAGGATTCTTCGGCAACGGCAAATCCTGTCAGCCGAACGGTAAGAATCGTCGTTGTCGCGAAACTTAAGAGTCCCCTAATTATCCCCGAGACGCGTCCCTTTGATCCGGCCACGCCACATAAAAGTTCGCTTTCGGGGGGTCTCGCAATTTTAACCGGGCTCCTTTGGGGTCGCGACGCGTCGCGAAATAGACGCCGCCCAATAACTGACGGTTCCGCTCGTGTACTCTCTCTGATCTATACATAGATTACGAGTCCCCGACTGTTCCTTCGATGACCTCGTAAAACACGAAGATTCTGTGCACGAGACTTTTAATATTTTCTACCTCCGACTAAAACTCGAAGTTACCACCGATTACCAGAACACGAAAGTGAATAAAAACTGTGAATATAAAATACAGATGTCCCGCTTCGAGTGATTGGTCGTATTTCCGGAACGATCAACAACGTTGACCTCCCATCAACCGATCTGCAGTGTTACGTGCAGACCAAGGACGGACGAACGTACACGGCGTTGTCCCGGGTACCAGAGGAAATCGGTGCCAGTTTCCAGCTGCTCGGTAAACTCGGTGGCATGATTGGCTGGCTGTTCGCGAAACCAATTGGCGAGACGAGAAACGGCTACGAACTCACAGGTACCGTCTATACGAAAGGAGCTACAGTAAATCATCGATGAATGTCTCCAGTTTCACACTGCCTTTTAATGAGGTTTAGCACAGTGATACAACTAGGAATTCCGAAGCCAAAAATATTTGTTTCAGCCATATATAACCATTAGTTTATGAAATATTTAATGTTCAGTGACAAAGAGCCTTCGATCACTCATCGATGGTTTACTGTATTGTAAATCTTCCTTCTCAATTTTGCTTTTCTACTTTCCACAAGACCACACCAACGGGTTGGCTCCAGTCTGGCCAGTGTTTCCATTGCATTTCTACAAATATTTCATTCAGGTGGTCTGTTCAATCACACCACGGAGCTGACGTTTCCCGCGTCCGGTGACAAAGTGACGATCCGCGGAAATTATCTCGGCCTGGACGTCTTTGGGCAGCTGAACATGGAGGCGGAGGTGACCGGCACGTTGCCGCAATTACCAAGGGACACATGGATCGAGTACGGTGACTACGACGAGCTTTATACCAGAGCGCAACCGGGCGTGATACGTGCACAGAGCGAGAGGACCAGCAAGATGAACGACGGAAGCGGCGAACGGGCGCTGAGCTTCACGCAGGATCAGACGATCCTCTATCAGGAGTGTCCGTATCTACCTGCCGACCCCGAAGACGACACCACACGGCTTAAGTACTTCAGGGGCTTGACGACTTACGAAGCGACCGAGGGCATCATTCGTTTCGCTGTGAACACGAAAGTCGCCCCCCTCGAGGAGGAAGATCCTTGCATTCAGGGCAGGGAAACTTGTACCGACCACAGCAGCTGCGTCGTCGACGGAGACAGCTTCAAGTGTGTCTGCAATCCTGGGTGAGATGATTTTTACTTTGATTCTAATTTAATCCTCTGGTTCAATCCATAAAGAATCATTGAAACGACAGGTGACGTTCGATAAAGCCATCCTTCGATTAGTTTCGTAGATCTGCCTTCTTCCATTGATGCAGAAATAACTGCCACCTGAGTCATTATTAACTCGAAGTATTTTCATTATTGTTACTACACTGAGGATATTTATGCAATTTTCTGTTTTTATGTATTAAAACAGAATTTAAATAGAAACTTATTACCCCACCGAAGAGTCGAGATACAAAGAAGAGAATGAAATGAAATTTCACTTATTTCTGAATATTCTGTTGTAGAATACACAAAATTCACAATAATGTCGTTTAGTAGATTTTCACTTCGCCTACTGCTCATTTATAATTATTCATTTCTGTGGGATCGCATGTTATGTAAAGAGGAAGTCTACAACAATGTACCATCGGTTGTTCCATAGATATCAATATCTATATGAAGAAGACGGTAGCGCGATCTGCGTGGACGTAAACGAGTGCAGCGCCGGCAATCACATGTGTTCCCCTGATGCGCAGTGTATCAACCAAGAAGGCAGCCACACCTGTCAATGCAGACCTGGCTTTTCGGGAGACGGTCGAATTTGCGAGAGTAAGTTCATGTAGACGTCCATTGTCGGTGGTGGGGAGCCTAAGGCCAGATGCTCGCAATGTGATACCAAGCTTGAGCCTATTAGTTAACAAGAAGAGGACTCCAAATGTATATCACAGATTTGATTCAAACACTTCTCACTTAAAGTATAGACTATGCAGAAACAAACCCTAGTGGGGTTTTGCCACATAGGCCTTCGTTATTGAGAAAATTAACAATAGACATTTTGGAGGCGGAAGATAGACATAATTTGTTGTTATATATCTATTATGTGTGTCCGACATATTTTACCTATAAATAAATGAAATGTAATTTTCTAAATGTTTTTTCACTTAAGAATAATTGTAACAAAACAGTAATAAATATAAATCACATAAGAATTTAAAAAAGAATAATACATGTGAAAAAAAAACCAACAGGATAGGGCGGGAGTCGAACTGCCGATCTCCGGATTGCGAGGTACTCGTTTCAACCGCCTCGGTTACACCCCTCTTGTATTCAGGGTTTCAAATTATCTCTCATCTTCCGCCTCCAAAATCTTTATTGTTAATTTTCTCAACAACGAAGACCTATGTGGCGAACCCGCACTAGGGTTTGTTTGTGCATAGTTTATACTTTAAGTGAGAAGAGTTTGAACCAAATCTGTGATATACGTTTAGAGTCCTCTCCTGTAAGTTTATATAAACAGCAGGAAGTTACCATACTCTGGTCACTTCCTTACCAACCACTAGCAACGGTCTGTTTGGCGAGAAAATCGATATCCAGACCGTTCCCGCCTAGTGGAGTCCTATTTTACGGTTTGCCAGTAACTGATACCTATTGTCTGTTGGACATACAGGACTTCCCTCCTGCGAGGACACGCGGTGCGGTAATTACGAGCAATGCGCGATGATCGAGGGCGCGCCTAATTGCGTTTGCATGCCCGGTTTCGAAGACTCGGAGCAGGGTTGCTACCCGACACAGCGAGGTAAAACACTATTTCAATGATTAAACTTCGGTCTACATTTTTTTCGTTCTGTTGGTAATGTTATCCCGAGGCTTCTTGTAGGTTCCTGCGAGGTCGAGGAGAACTGTGCTCCCGTTGGCGGTGCCTGTACTCTTAACGGTGATCCATCGAGGCACGTATGCATCTGTCTGCCAGGTTTCCTTGGTAAGTGTTCGTGTTTTATTGCGCCCTTGCCTCGATCCGAAATCAACGGTAGGGAAGATGATATTCTACTTTCATAGTATTAGCTCAGGATCCTATACGAACGACTTTATGACAACGTAATAGAGATTCCTGTATAAACGCATTTATCGAACTTCGTGTTTATCTTACGAAGAGTTTGCACATAACACGCCCTACGATTAAAGAAAATCGAATCTCCGTTAATCGATCTGTTCCAATGGACGGATGATTGGATTAAATTCATCTGTTTGTAGCATCTAATATCGTTAGAAACACCGAACTCAGCAAGTAACAAGTTTCGTGCTGTCATGTTACGTTCTCGTTCCATGTTCGAAGTTAGAAAGAACCACACCGCCCAAGCGGTACCGCTTTCAAATTGAATTACAAGGGAACGTCGAGTGATCGACGTGGATAATGTATAGAGTGCCCGGTTGGAGGGATACCATTCTTCCGAGGGATTTGTACCGGTAGCAAATCCGGGACCCTTCGTTCCTCCCTGTGTTTTCGTAATCAGCTTCCGTTCCGATGATTACAATCGTTCCCAGGCGACGGTTACACGTGCTATCCGGAAGCGGACGAGACCACAACGGACGAACCACCTAAACCGCAGTGCTTGCAAGAGATGTGCTGGTGCCCGGGTGGTTGGGACTACCGGAATAACGAATGCGTGCGGCAGGAAGAGGAGCAGAGGACCGTCGACTACGACCGGGACTGTAAGTACGCCAAGAATAATGCGCGTGTGGATCTCGATCCGCTCGTAAATTACAGAAGCCTGGGTTTCTACTCGACTCCTTGTAATTAGTTTATTGTATCCGCTTCGAGGAATGGTAAAGAACCTCGATTTTGCATGGGATTATTAGTCGTTTTTTCAGTTTGAATCTTGACAGAAAGTACAAGCTTCTTAAAGTTCGTACCTTCGGGGATCGAGTTTTCGGAACTTAAACAGAAATGTCTGAGAAAAGGGGGATTGATCGGAAGGGTATACAGAAGCTTGTAGAGTGTAACTTTATTCCGAGAAAAATGTTCTTCTTCGAGATATTGAATTTTCTTTTGCATCCGTCCCTTTGCTCGGCCCTCGAAGGATCGATCGAATGGAACAATGCATGACGACTAATCGCACGTAGAATATGATTAGAGGTACGTCGTGATTGCACGAAGTCATGCGATATACCCGGTACACGATCATCGTGGCCGTGTCGAGAGACACTCGCTAACACGCCAGCGACGAACGGTTCTTTTTGCATCGTGCGTTCTAGTATCGGCGCACCCAGCTCCGGCATGCCTCGAAGACGACTGCATATGCCCCTGGGGATTCGATTACAACCGTACGGAGGAGATTTGCGCGCCACGGCCAGGATACAACCACGAAACGATGGGTCCATCAGGAGTTCACTGTACGGCAGACCCTGCTTTTGCTTCTTGCTAATTCGACCAATTAACGGCGCTTCTGCTAATTGCCTGGTTAACGTTACCCGTCACGCGCAACATATCTCGTACAGACATTTAATTAATCCATGTCAACACGTTCTACATTGTTTTTCAGTTCGAACGATCGAATTTATTTATCGACGCTTCCACACATTGCCCCGTCCAGAATGTGACTAATGTTTCACGGAAACAGAGGGTGGGACACTTGTTCAGAGAAACATCTGCCATATTTTTCGCAATACTCTGTAGCTGATACCTCTGGAGTCTTTTTAAGTAATATTCTACGTCATGGTAAAGTCTCGATTAACCGAACACTTTGTTAAGAATTATCCCTTTGACTGCGAACAGCGCCTATAGGCATTCAATGCAGGATACTCATTTGATGGTCACATATATATACATATATATTAAATGTTTCATATTTGCAAATTACTTTTCCGATAAATATAACTGCAAAATAACGAAAAAAAAATTTGTTTAAGCAATTATAGTAGTGCGTCATGTACCCAGACGGTTGCTACTACCACTGCGTCGCGCGATTGGCATGTTTCATTTCTGAGTGCTCTGCAGTCAAAGGATTAAGGATCATCTTTTATATTTAGGTATTCTGTACATTGGTATTCTGTTAACCGAGATTTTACAATGACACTGAAGATGAAATCATTCACCTCTCCTTAACTTCCCAAAATGATTCACCCTCCTAAAGGGATGGCTATAATAATTCAATCGAGTGCTTATTGAAAAAAAAACCACTAGAGAATTTAGTACAGCAGAAGGTACCCAGTAGGTACGTCTCCCTGAGGACGTGAACGTCTAGATTCGATCGTTACGACTGATACGCAAACGCCGCTTCATAAATTTCGTACGTGAGGCAGTCAGGCGTCACCGGCATTATCATAATTGCGCACGCTTGTGTCCAGTATCGTGCAACGTGGTGAACAGGTGTCATCCCTACGCCCAGTGTATCTACGTGACGAGTACCGCCGACTACGAGTGTCGCTGCAATCCTGGCTACGAGGGGGACGGCACCGATTGCACGAAAACAGGTACGTCGGACATCGTTTTGCTAGCCTCATTTCTCGTTTCCGAGTAATCGTTCGCACAATGCCGCGGGGAAATTGTACGGGTCGATAACCAGTGAATGAAAAGAGATTGTTATTCTGGCACAGAGGTGTCCTGTTTGGACGTGGACATCTGCGACCCGAACGCGTCCTGCCAGCAGGAGCCGTTGGCCAAGTGCGTCTGCAATCCAGGATACGAAGGAGACGGAACCACTTGCAGTCCTATCGGTCATATGGAAATCCTTTTTTTTTTCATATTTTTTTTTATCTAACTATTTATCATACAATACTTGACGCATCTGTCACTTGCCAGTTCTGCTCGCTAGAAATCAATGAACGTACCGCTTCTGCACTTGTAGTCGCGCGATGGCATGATCGGCTACAGAACTGTCTTGAATACCGTTTAGCTAAAGCAATACCGTTCGTAAGACGGTTCCTCTAAAAATTCTGTATGTACTATACCGTCAATGCTGTCTCGTAATGTAGATCCACGGACATCTACTTCCTCCTCTGTACCATCTACACTCCATTACTCTCCCTTTTTTAAATGCACTGCACAATCACCCGTTGAATCGAAAGACACGAGACGATTCACCGTTAGTTAGGCGTTCAAGATATTTCTTGAAGTTTCGATTACTCTATTGAGGGATGTGAAGTAGAAACGTATTTTAGTGCAATGCAATCGATTGGTACGATGGTCTCTAAGAGGAACCTAACTGACACGGAGGAGGAAAATGTCCCTGGATACAGTACTATCTTCAATAAAGTTCAATTGTTCGACCAAGGTTCTTTCGCAGCGGTATGTTACAATGTTTCTCTCTTGTATGTAGACGAGTGCAGCGGCGACACCGACTGTGCAGAGAACGAAAAATGCTCGTACAACCCGACCAACTCACGATTCGAGTGCACCTGCAATCCCGGATTCAGTATGGTGGACGGACGCTGCGTGGTCTCCGACTGTTCCACGAACCCTTCCCAGTGCCACGTGAACGCACAGTGCGTGTCCGCCGGCGACGGTGGCTACGAATGCATCTGCATCGACGGATACAACGGGGACGGGATCCGTCAGTGCGTCGAGGATCATATCGGCTGCAACGTTCTGAATAATTGCGGCAGGAACGCGGTCTGCGGATACAATCAGACGTCCGAGAACTTCGCGTGCATCTGCCAACCGGTATGCTTATTGAACACGTCGGTTATCGATCGCGTGAATCGGTCTTACCTTGGAAATTTAGCCTGACATGCTGTGCAAAGCCTCGACTTAGGGTGTACCACTTTACTATGAGAACGACTTTAGCTAAATCATCGATGTAGACTATTGTGTTTGCAAGTGGGACGGTTTAGAGATAGCTTACCACTGTGGCAAGTAGTAACGGACTCTCATTGAGCAGCCAATTCACGAATGGACGCGTTAGAATAGGATCGTGACAGTAGGAAGGACAGGTTTATGATCAGACGTAGCTGTCCAGGACAATGGTTTAGTTGAGCTATCGATACCTATTCGTACAACGATCGTAGCTGTTTTCTGCTTAACCCTTTAACGTTTAGTGTTGTACCGCTTATTTTAAAAGCGTGGCAAGTCTAGCACTGGGTAATATCTAACTTTTGTCAGCAAGGATCTGTAGTTTCACTGATGCGAAGTAGATTTCTCATTTCACTTGAGAAAATTAAGTATTCCCTCGAAAAATAAATAAAAAGAGAAAAAATGAAAAAGTCTGTTGAATATTGACTTTTTTGACATCAAAACAACAAGATACAACATATGTATACATATACAGGTTGAGTCAATAAGAATTACTATCTAAAATAACTCGTTACTTATTGGTTGCATCAGAAAGCGTTTTAATGAATTATGTAGTATTTTAAGAGACACATCAAATGCATAGAATTTGTCTCTTTTATACCTTATTTTTTTTGAGATATGAAAGTGACCTGGAATTTGTTCAAGGTTAATGCATTTTTGTTTAATACCGTCATGTTGTAGGTTATTGAATTCGTCATTCCACTGACAACAACGTGGTATTAAAAAAAAGATGCATTGACCTTAAAAAACTCAAGTTCACCTCAAACAAAAATGTGCTATACAACCAATAGGTAACGAGTTATTTTAGGTAGTAGTTATTGACTCACCCTGTATATCAGTCTCATAATTTTGAAACAACGACTTAGTTAACCCTTTGCCTTATAACATCGAGTCAGACTCGTGGTGACGATTTCAAAATTGATTCAACAAACATAAATATTACTCGTTTTCTTTGAGTCAAAGTGAAATACCAGTTTGATAATATTAATATTTTACTTTTAGAGTAAATGTACAATTGCGATAAGTACAAGAATTCCTTTTCTTTCTGGGGAACTATTGACGATAAAGTAATTCTGGAGACTGCAGACATCAAGAAAATCATAGGGCAAAGGGTTAAAGGGTTGAGACGAACTTCTGTTCTTTTACACAAGACCTCTCAGGTTCATTAATCCACGTGTACTTGCCCAAACATTAATGATTTCCATTCCACTTTCAGGGTTACTACGGCGACGGTTTCACGTGTCTTCCTCAATCGTCCTGCCGACACGATCCAACCCTTTGCTCGCCGGACGCGACATGCGTGCCGGCCGGGAACAATCAGTTCGCCTGTGTGTGCAACGAAGGGTACAACGGGGACGGGGCGAACTGCAAACCGCGTCCAAAACACGATTCGAACTTCCTGCTGGTCAACCAAGGAATGGCCACCCTCAGGATACCGCTCGCGTCTTCCTACGAGAATCCTGGCAGCCCGATCTACATAGCGTACACGCAAATGGCGATCGCGATCGACATCGACTGCCTGAACGGGAAAGCATACTCCAGTGACATCACCGGTAACACGATATTCCCATAGCGCTCGCTCCTCCTTATTCTCTCTATCTCTCTCGACGAATCGTGATGCATCGAGAGGATACTTCGTGCACGGATTAAAACGCAATTTTGCCAGTGGAAATATCGACTCAGCCTCCACGGTATTACGAGGTGGTCCAAACTAGAGATTTATTCTTTCAGGTAATCGAATAATCGAGTTAACGTACAACGGATCGATGTCGGAGACGTTCATGCCGAAAGTAAGCAGCCCCGAGGGACTGGCGGTCGATTGGGTATCCAGAAATATTTTCTGGACGGACTCCGGCAAGACGACGGTCGAGGTGGCCAATCTCGAGACGAGGAAACGCAAGGTCCTCGTTTCCGACGGGCTGGTCAATCCCAGAGGGATAGCCGTTCACCCGTACCGAGGGTAAGTATTTCTCCCGTGGATTTTCCACGGGGTCAGGGGTTAAAGGTACCGGATCAGCGTGGTACGACGTAGCGACGACACGGAAGGGTGGGGTTACGAAAAAAAACAAAAAAAAAAAAAAACAAACCGGACATAAACACGGATATAGACACACATCGTTATCATCCAGGGGAATATTTCGTCGTGTTTCAGGAAGATATTCTGGTCCGATTGGAACCGCGTCTCGCCGAAATTGGAGTGGGCAAACGAGGATGGGACAGGCCGCGCGATCTTCCTTCAAGGGGATTACGTCAAGCTACCGAATTCATTAAGTATCGATTGGGCGACGGATGAGCTGTGCTGGGCGGACGCCGGAACGTTTACGATAAGTAAATAATCGAATTCTGGCGGAAATTTCTCCGTTAAGGGGGAATCCTATTTGTTTGGCGAAAAATATAGCAAAATGTGGGAATTTTTTTAAACGGGACTGGCGATCCGATTCATTTGCAGTTTGGACCATGTATTTATTCGTCTTTGAAGAAGTTACGGTATTTTTGAAATTAATTTTTAATAATAAATATAGAAGCTATGCATGATCGACCATCACGCCAGGCATGGTTTGTCTGTCGCTAGTGTGTATATTTATCTTCCAGCTAATCTGTAGCTTCACTTTGACAAACCAGAATAAAAGAAAAAATTTATTGAGGAAGTGGTTTCATATAACTTTAATTTTTGCTATCAAAATTCGACACTTTTTTTTATGTAAAAAGAGAAATATATAACTTATCGGTATTCTTGTTTGTAAAACGGTAAAGTAATGTTTACTGAATATACAGACCAAATTTGAAGTTAATCGGTTCAGTGGGTACAGAAATATCATGCAGACCACCCGCAAAAAAGCTGTTTCGAGAAAATAACGTTAAAAGTTTTAATACGCAATGAGCATCATACCTGCGCTCGAGTCGGTTAAAAACTCATAACTTCTAAAGTTTTACGAGCTTCGACATGAAAATTTGCCAAAATATTCTGAAGACATTAAACTAAAATATTCAGTCAAAAGAAAATCGATTTTTTTTACTCGAAAAATAGGATTCCCCTTAATACATATCGACAGATGGTCAGAGAGCCTCCTGACTCGCTGTATAATCGTCCCTAACCGATTTTTCATAATCGTGTACCCGCAGGCTGTATGGAAATCGAGAGCAAGGAGATCAACGTGGTCGCGAACGCGCTCACTTACCCGTTCGGCCTCGCGATCTCGCAGCAGAACTACTATTGGACCGACTGGAAGACGTAAGTGATCGAAAACACGTTCCCCCTTTTGGCAACCGAATTTCGTATTTACTCGACCGGGAAAATTGATGGCGAAACGTCGAGGTTTTTCGTACGTACCGTATAAATAACGAAACGTTCGTTTATTCTCCCGGGATCTATTAACCTTGGTCAAGGTCAAAGGGGGTACGTAGTGTCTCGTTGAGATTTTAATCGAGAAATAGCAGAGAGAAACCTCTGCAACCGGGTGCTTAGAAGAATTCGGTTGGAGCGCGGGTAAAAATTCGGTGGATAGTTTGAATCATCGGTTATTTATCGTCGTAGCCACAAAATCGAGGTTGCCATGAAGAGCAGCGGGGACAGGAAGCCGGCCATAGTGATACCACCCGGAGGAAGCGGTAAATTGTACGGAATAGTCGTCGTTCCTGAGTCCTGCCCAAGAGGTAAATCAAGTTTTACGTCATCGTTCGACGTGTAACCCCCTCCGTGAAATTGATCTAACCTAGACCCTGTTTGAAAGTATATAAAATCACGTGATTCTGGTAATTCAACGGCACACCGCTCGATCAACGGTGATCGGATTAATGTAACCAATCATTTGTCTGCCGCGACAGTGACGAACGTCTGCCAATACGAGAACGGAAGGTGTAACAAGGACCAATTGTGCCTGCCGGATGGTCAAGGTGGTAGGACGTGCGTATGCGCGGATGATGCGTCAGGACCTTGCACCGATTCTCGTTAATCGATGGAGTGTCGATCCCCGTCGAGATCGTGAATCAGGGCGACGCAAGACCACCACCATCACCAACACAAAGAGATGCGACCGACGATAATGAAAGAGAACAACTGGTCTCGCGTCGCGTCGGTGTCGGTTGTTAGAGTCGCGTGTAAATTATATTATATTATTCTTGATATGTTTAGTTTTGTCGTCCACGTTTTTAAGTAACACATACACATCATACACACACAACACACACACACACATTTTGTATCTAATATAACTGTAGCGTGATGCTGGCTGTACGGTGCTGCGGCGGAGTGCGCCGCGTTATTTAATAAAAGTCTAAAAAATACACAGCGATTCTTGCTGGATTCCACGTGCTCGATAGTTGATCAGAATTTTATTCGAATGATATACACAAGTTAAACGGTACTACAGTAATGTCTCCATGTGTGCGACGAACTCAGTCCGGTTTGGAGTACTCATGGCGAGGCAGAAAGGCTTTCAGCCCCTCGTAAATTGGTTTTTTTCCCGAAGCTGAGCCTCTGCTTAGCTTCCGTTTAATCTGTTTTGATTGGTTTCAGAGAGGTACTGTTGCTCGTGTCGCATTCATCGGGGAATCACTGTATTTAAGATTGTCATACTGATCTCTAAATATTTAGAAAAGGCGTGGGGTGGATTCAAAATAATCGTACACTACACTGAAAATAATAAAGTTCATTTTAATATGAACAATAATGAAACAAATTAGGAAGTAATAGGAAATTGATATTTAAAAAT